AAAGAACCAAATGAAAAAATAAATCTTTTTTTTTTAAACTGAGAGATAACCTTTCAGGATGGTAAACCATTAAATGTGGAATCTGCCATGCAGAAACACAACAGGAACTTACCCAGTGTAGCCACAAGTGCAAAGTTCTCCAGCATCACATCAAGGTACAGCAGCCTCTGAACCTCGTTCAGGAGCCCCCACTCCTCCCAGGAGACGTCCACGAACACATCCTCGAAGGTCACATAGCCCTAGCATGATGGGGACAGTTAAGCCCACAAGCAGCATCTCCCACAGACACAACCCTTCAGTCTGTCTACTCACATACACACATCCTTCAGTCCCTTCCCCTCCCTAAGCTGCCCACCTAAGAGGATATACTAAGTCCTGACACCATTAGTACCTGTTCCCTCCCCATATCTCTCCACTATGTCCATTCCATAACAGAATCAGAAAATATGCAAAAAGATGCCAATTGGGCTGGAGAGCGGGCTGGCTCAGCAGTTAAGTGACTGCTTTTGCAGAGGACCCAGGTTCGAGTCCCAGGACCCACATGATGGTTAACAAGTGTCTGAAACTTCAGTTCCAGGGAATCCAACACCTTCTTCTGACCTCTGTGGGCACTGCACAACATGGGTGCACTTACATGCAAGCAATACACTCAGACACACAAAAAATAAATATAAAATTTTTTTAAAAGGTGCCAATTAAACATGGGATCTGGGGCGAGCAAGAGGGCCCAGAGGTGAAGATGCTTGCTGCACAAGCCTAATGGCCCGAGTTCGAGCTCTGGAACCCAAAAACATGGAAGGAGAGAGCTGCCTCCACAGTTATCTTCTAATACACACACATGCACACACTGTAGTACATTATGGACATGGACACACACACACACACACACACACGATAAACTGAATTTTAAACATGGGATCTGGCATGAAAGGTCTTACATACTCTATCAGTTCTCTGTCTTGTTAACATTATGCTTCCTACACACAGCCAAATCTCAGCTGAGCTTCTCACAGAAGCCATCAATACCAGGGCCATAAGATCATCAGTCTAGGGGTTTCCAAGATGGCTCAGTGGGTAAAGCACTTACCACACAATTCTGACAATCTGAGTTTGATCCCTGGAGCCCTCATAAAGGTGGAAAGCAAAAACAGACCCTGCAGAGTTGTCCTCTGACCGTCATATGTGTGCGCTATGGCATGTACCATGAATAAATTACATATACACACAGAATAAAAACTCAAAAACTTAAAGAGATTGTCAGGGCTGGAGAGATGGCAGATGGTTCAGCAGTTAAGCGCATTATTGCTCTTGCAGAGGATCTGAGTTCAGTTCCCAGCACCTATATCAGGAAGATCACAACTACCTGTAACTTGAGCTCAGGGAATTCAACATCTTCTGGCCTCCATGGGCACCTGCACTCACATGCACACACACAATTAAAAATAAGGCCGAAGAGATGGCTCAGTCATCGAGACTGGCTGCTCTTGCAGAGGGCCTGGATTTGGTTCCCAGCATACATGGTGGCTACAAATTGTCTGTAACTCCAATTCTAATGGATCCAACACCCTTTTCTGACCTATTTGGGCACTGCACAGCATTGGTGCACTTAAATACATGCAGACAATACACTCATACACATAAAAAAAAATCATAATTTTTTTTTTTAAAAAAAAGCCAGACTTGGGGGCTGGAGAGATGACTCAGAGGTTAAGAGCACAGGCTGCTCTTGCAGAGGACCTGGGTTTGATTCCCAGCACCCACATGGTGGCTAACAGCTGTCCATAACTCCAGTTCCAGGGGATCTGACACCTTCTTCTGATCTCCGAGGGCAATGCATGACACTCATGTAATGTACACTTACACTCATACAGGCAAAATACTCATACACATAATTTAAAAAAAAAAAAAAGCCAGGCATGGTGATGCACATGTTTCATCCCAGCTCTCAGGAGGCAGAGGCAGGAGGATCTCTGAGTTCCAGGTCAACTGGGTTGAATCCCAGCACCCACATGGCAGCTAACCACCATCCATGACTCCAGTTTCAGGGGCTCTAACCCGTGCATTGCACTTACATACATGCAGGCAATACACTCATACATATACAATAAAATTAATTTAAAAAAGAGAAAATACTGTCAGTTCACACTCCTCCCAAGAGACACACTCTTAGGACCACACCTTCTTCTTTGCAGGTGAGACTTGCACTAACACCATCAGCAACCTCCTGACATGTGCCATATGCATCTCCACAGCATCCCTTGTCTATACACTGTGTCCAGAAAGAGCCCACCTTTCTTTGTAACAGTCACCATTAACACTTTGGCATCACAGCCACAGACGCAGCTTTCAGTCCTCACTTGGATCTTTGTCACTAACAGCTGTGCCATCATGACTTGAAGCTACGTCATAGCTCTGTAGGAATGACTTACAAAATGGACAGAATCTGGACTAATGACTTTGAATTAGCTTTGCAAACAAAAATCGACTGCAAACAGACTCACTGAGCCATGTGCTCTTATGACCTGGTCTTGATTCCTTGGAGCCTCAGTTTGCTGTTCTACCCACAGGTAGTGAATGAAGTGGGTATTCTTGAGAAAGAGCAAATCAAGCTCTGATAGGCAGCATGTCCATCTTTTCAGAAAACAATGAAGACTGAGAAGAATGCTTAGCGTTGTGTGGATGAGATGTTTTAGATAAAAGAAGGGTAGAGCCAAGCTTGTAGTTCCCCAGATATGATGCTGGAGAAACAGTTTTGAATAAAAACACAGGTGAGACCTACTCAGCAGCCTGGTTCCAGGAGAGATCTGGAGAACGGGTACTCTGAGTTCAGGCCCATTCTTATAACAAAAGTTAAGAGGCTGTTTATTCAGGTATAACTGTAACACTGGCATGGAAATACCACATAGCTCGACCTCACTTCACCCACTGGCCCTCACCTTTTTGATTTCTTCAACAATAAAAACTCTGGATGCCTCAACTAAAACTAAAACTGCTTGATGCCTCATCTAAAGGTAAAGGGTACTGGGAACTTAAACTAAGCATGACCTCATTTCTTTCTTTCTTTTCTTCTTTTTTTTCAGCCACAGCTGGCCTGGATTCACTATAGAGACAAGGCGGGCTCGAACTCACAGAGATCCACCTGCCTTTGTCTCCCAAGTGCCGAGATTAAAGGTGTGTGCCACCAACGCCTGGGAACATAACCTAATCTCTAAAAAAAAAAAAAAAAAATTATATGTAGTGGACTGTGTAGCTGTGTAGTGCAATGCCTGTGGAGGCCAGAAGAGAGCCCTAGATCCCCTGGAACTGGAGTTACAAATGGCTGTTAGCCACCATGTTGGTGCTGGTAACTGAACCCAGGTCCTCTGCAAGAGCAGCCTATGCTCTTAACCACTGAGCCATCTCTCCAGCCCCAGCATGACCTAATTCTTGATACAACCACTAAAATCCTGCCACGAGCTGCACCATCTCATCTTCTTTCTCATTCACTAGCTTTTGTCACAAAATCCTGTCATTCTACTTTAAAAATTTATACAAGGGGCCAGGTGTGATAGCATATGCTTTAATGCCAGCACTTGGGAGGCAGGGGCAGGCAAGTCTCTGTGAGTATGAGGCCAGCCTGGTCTACATACAAAGTTCCAGGCCTGCAAAGACTACAAAGTGAAATCCTGTCTCAAAACAAATAAACTAAGAAAAAAATCAGTCCAAGGGCCAGTGAATGGCTCAGCGGGTAAAGGCACTTGCTGCACAAGCCTGACAACCAAGTTGGCTCTGTGAAACTCACATGAAGCTGGAAGGAAATCCAAGTCCATAAAGTTGTCCTCGGACCTCCACATGCCACTGATGCACGTGCTTCCACCTCCAAACAATAATAAAGGTTTTAAGAACTGATGCAAAATTCACAACTTTCTCTTACACAAAACTTGCCAACTTGTCTGACCTCTACAATTCATACCTCTGGGTCAGATACTATCAAGAATATAGCAGTAGGGGCTGGAGAGGTGGCTCAGTGGTTAAGAGCACTGGCTGTTCTTGCAGAGGCCCTGGGTTCAATTCCCAGTGCCTGGTGGCTAATAACCGTCTATACTCCAGTTTCAGGGGATTCAATGCTCTCTTCTCCTCTCCACAGGCATTGTGCAAGAGAGGTACACTTACATACATGCAGACAAAACACTCCTACACATAATTAAAAATAAAACAAAATAAAAATACCGCAGTAGACATCTCCCTCATATGCCACAGTCTCTCTTAACCTGAAAGCTAGGGTGAGTCTATTATGAATCAAATCATCTCAATACCTTCCAATTTTCCAAAAGTCTGGGGATGTGGCTCAGCTGGTAGAGTGCTTGTCTAGCATGCATGAAGCCCTTAGTTCAATCCCCAGCCTGAGGCCAGCCTTGGCTACAGGAGACCCTTTCTCAATCAAAACAAAACAAAACAAAACACAAACCCACAGAAGCCCTGTTTCCCAAATTGCCACTCCTGCCCCTACATCTGCTTCCTCTTCCCAGCAGATACAGTAAGGACCCATGGCCCCTTGAGCACTCCTAATTTAATCTTTACTCCAAGTTAAGATTGTCTGTTCCTGAGGTTAATATATTCATCAGTCCTCATTGATGGTTAGTAGTTCCAACTTCTAGATATAATTTCTAATCTGGCCTCAGAACATTTAATTATAAATGACCTCCTTTCAGGGTCCTTAGACTGAAAGGCAGAAAGGGTGACTGCAATGAAGCCCAGGATATTAAGGTCTCCTCAGATGATGTGGTCAGCCTATCTAAAGAATATACAAAATAGGGCTGGAGAGATGGCTCAGCAGTTAAGAGCACTGGCTGTTCTTGCAGAAGTACTAGGGGACCAGGGTTTGGTTCCCAGCATCCACAGGGCAGTTATTTCTTCATGAGGATCTGATGCCCTCTTCTGGCCTTCACAGGCATTGAATGACATGGATGCACTAATCTTTTATTTTTTTCCCCTTAATTTTTTATTGAACTTTTTTGGTCTTTTTGAGACAGAGTCTCCCTGTAGCTCCAGCGGGCCTTGAACTCACAGAGATCCACCTGCCTCTGCCTCAAGGCGTGTGCCACCACACCCGGGAGAAAAATCATCTTTATATCCCTTTCCCTTTGGCACGCCCCCCCCCCATGGCATTCATACATTCTGTCATTTGTGTTAAGGCCTATGTATCATGTAAAATTAGAGTTCCCAGATGTGTCTCAGTGCAAATTCATCCACTGGGATCCAGTCAGCCTAAATAGAGTCTCTCCCTTTAAGAAGATCAGTTCTTCCTCACCCAGCAGTAATCAGTTGCCAGTAATTCTTTGACTAAGATTGGGGCCTGGTGTTCATTTCCACAGTTCTGTGCGGGACACTAATCTTTTTTCAAGAACGTACAAAACACCCTGGGTTCACCACCACAGCCACCCCACCATCAACACTCACCTGGACTACGCCCTAGACTACATCCTGATTTCCCTGTCCCCCAGCTCCCAATTGGAAACTAGGGAAACGCTGTTAAGGCCCGTGGAACAGCCCCTCCATCTCTCACTAAAACTCCCCTGGCTCCCACCATCCTCGGAAGAGAAACTCAGTTCCTCCGGCTGCCATTCCTACCTGGAGCCTGAACCCCGCCTCTTACGAGGTACAGGCACTTGAGTTTTCTGGAACTCTCCTAACTCATTGTGACGTTCAAGCATTGGCACCTTGGAAACCCTTCCACACCTCACCCCAAGGATGCTGAGAACCGGAACCTGCCCTTCCCTTGACCACCGAGTGGGTGTGCATACTCAAACGAAGGAATGAAGAGGAGGCGCATAAGCCTTTATCTATGTGAGGGCTTGGGGGCCTTCTATTCACCTGTGCCGGGTCCATCCGAAATCCCGAGCAGCAGCCAAGTGAGCAGGCGGTGGGCGGCTCAGCTGAAACCCCACACGTGGGGTGACCTAGGCCTGCAGGATGCAGAAACACAAGGCTCGAGGAACAGACTCAGGACACGAACAGGAGTCACACGGGCATATAAAAAGGCCCTGTGGTCTCCCGGTCCTTCCCTGCTCCGCTCAGCAGGTGGGAAGTGACCAGGCTTGGGACTCCTAACCAAGGGTGGATAGATCCAGCGCCAGGACACACATCACAATTGCGACACCAGAAGCCGCGCCTTGGACACAGAATCATGGGTAATGTAGTTTCTGTCTTGCATCCAGCCGTATACAGTACTCCTTGGTTTTTGGCGTGAACTACCAAGGAGCAACAGTATCTCAGGGCACCAACCCAACTTGCAGGGGATGAGCCCTAATTTCCGTGGTCACCTGGACTAATGCCAAGCCTCACAAGTCGCCAGCACGACTCATTCTTTAAGCTTCCAGCTCCTGGGGTTCAGGGAGAGCTGCTTCATCTCTACCAGCCTTGAAGATAGAGGTTGGAGGTTTTCAAAGCCCAGTGTGGGAGCTTTCTCTAGCAAAGTGAAACGGACCTCTAGCAAATTTGGCTATCTGGTTTGACAGAGTGACTTGTAAATAGAAGACAACGTTTCTGCCAAACAAAACTCATGTTTAACGAAGTAGCACTGCATAGAATATCAACATTTAAAAAATTTATTATATATATATATATATGTCTTTTTGAGACAGGGTCTCCCTGTAGCCCCAGCTGTCCTGGAACTCACTATGTAGACCAGGCTGGCCTTGAACTCACAGAGATCCACCTGCCTCTTTATTATTTTTATTTTATGTGTATGCGTGTATTGCCTGCATGTAGGTAAGTGCACCCGTGTCATGCCATGCCCCTGGAGATCAGAAGAGGCTGTCGGATCCCCTGGGACTGGAGTTACAGACAGCTGTTAGCTGTCATGTGGGTGCTGGGATTCGAACCCGGGTCTTCTGCAAGAACAACCAGTGTTCTTAATCACTGAGCCATCTCTCCATCCCCCCTTCTCCTCTTGCAGAAGACACAGATTGGATCCCCAGCAACCACATGGGATGACTCAGAACAATCTGTGCCTCCAGTTCCCTGGGATCTGATGTCCTCTTCTGGCTTCTGAGGGCACTGCACATGTGGTACATTTACATTCAGGCAAACCACTCATCCAAATAAAAATAATTTTATGCAAAAAGCATTAAAAATGTACATTGGTGGGCTGGAGAGATGGCTCAGTAGTTAGGAGCACTGATTGCTCTTGCAGAGGACCAGGTTTGGTTCCCAGCATCCACACGGCAGCTCACAACCGTCTTTAACTCCAGTTCCAGGGATCCGGTACCCTCTGGCATTGCACGACTCCAGTGCCATTTACGCATATGCAGGAAATGCAGTCATACACATAAAATTAAAATAATATTTTTTAAAAAAGTGCATTGGCTAGGCATGGTCGTGCACGTCTTAATCTCAGCACTAGGGAGGCAGAGGCAGGCAGATCTCTGTGAGTTCAAGGCCAGCCTGATTTACAGAGTGTGTTCCAGGCCAGTGCAGACAGGGCTACAGAGTCAGACCCTGACTCCAAAAAAAAAAAAAAAAAAAAAAGGATAACGGATAACATCACACAAATCATCATCAAGACTGAATTTCCTAAGGGCCAATGGATTAAATCATTACCAATTCCAGGAAGAGCTGAAAAGTGACTTAGATTTAATATTTCTAGTGGATTTAACCACTCATTTAAATTATTTAAACATGTGTCTTCAAAGTAGAGCTAACATAATCAATACAGTGCTTCAAATCACAAGTGTCTCAAATGAAACAGAAATAGCTAGTGCAAAGTATTTTAAGCATTTTGACATGTTGACTAAGCACAACCCTCTGAATACAAGAATTTGAAAACAAATTTCAAGATTTCCAGGGAAATAATATTTTGGTGTATTTGTGAGCCCACTGTCAATCAACATGTTACCTGTCCATTTTCAAATGGAATGCATATAGTTTCATTCCATGCAATGCAATATTCAACAAAGAAAATATTTTGATCATGTTCCTTACTAGGGTTCTATAGGACACATATTCCCAGAAACAAATACCCTCACTTCACAATCAGACCCCATGGCATTGCTGTTTTAGAGCACCTATATTTGTGAGCAACTATTTTCAAGGATGAATCACACTGAGTAAAATTAGAATAAAAATATATGATGAGCTAAGTGCTCACACATGTCTTTAGCCAGCCTGGTCCACATAGAGAGATCCAGGCCAACTGAGTCTACAGGAAGATCCTGTCTCAAAAAACCAAAAACAAGGGCTATAAAGATGGCTCAGTGTTTAAAAGCTCTGGCTACTCTTGCAGATGACTTGGATTTGGTTTCTAGCACCCACATGGCACCTAACAACCACCCATAACTCCAGTTCCAGGCAGTCACGCCAGCTTCCTCCAGTGCAGAGGGACCATCAGAGTCGATGTCTGCATAAAAAGAAAGCTGCACCTAACACCCAGAGACCAGATTCCCCCAAGACTCCAGCATGCCATCAGTGCAGAGGGCCCTCTTGGTGGGACTAACCGCCCGAAACTCACCGACAGATCACATACATGAAAGGGACTAAGCTGCCACAATATTCTTTAATCTTACATTATTCATAAACATTTCATGATATAGGACGTGTTATGAACCCCATAGTCTCTAATTACTGGGAACAAATAGATTCGAGATTGCTGACAAGTGCTATGGAAATGTACTGCGTGCACCTGGTCACTACGTGTTTAGAGTAATAAATGCTAACACGGAATATTTGCAAGTTCAGCTGCTTGATGGACAGCACTATGCAAAGAAGATACTGGGCAACGTCGAGGTTCTCAAGTTTCCTCTACCTGATCATCAGTATTAAATTCTGGAGACTCTTAAAACTTGCAGTGATTGGGGGGTGGGAGTCTAAATTTGATTAAGATGTATTATATGAAATGCACAAAACCGCAATAAAAATATTAAAAAAATGAAAAAATTCAGTGACTTTTTTTCTTTTTAATAACAGCATACAAACGTCCACCCCAAAGCCATGACTTCACATTTATTGTAGGAACTTGTTTGCTTAATACTTGTTAAACTTGAGTCCCAGTTGGGCATGGTGGCACACACCTGTCATTCCAGGAAGCAGGAGGATCAGGAGTGCAAGGTTATCCTTGGGTACATAGAGAGTTCATCATCGTGTCATATATGGTGCCAGCCTGAGATACACGAGATCTTGTCTCAAAAACAGGCTGGAGGGATGGCTTTCAGTGGTTAAGAGTGCTTGGTGCTCTTCCGCAGGACCCAGGTTGGGTTTCCAACACCTATACTGGGTGGCTCACCACTTTTGGCCTGTAACTCCAGCACTAGGGGATCTGATGCCCTTTTCTGGCCTCTGCAGACACCTGCATGCATGTGTGCAAGCATACACACACACACACACACACACACACACACACACACACACTCATGTGTGCAAGCACATAGGTGCACACACACACAATTTTAAAATCCAAAAACAAAACAAAACTTAAACAAAATAGAAAAAAGCAACATCATCCATCAGGGTAAGATTCACTAGAGTAGGCATGAGACTGCTTATCCTTGGAGCTTCCAACTTTCACTCTTGCTTAGAGTTTGCAACTTATATCTCAGGTTCCACACTGTTTTCAGAAAGGAGCAGTGGAAGGATCCCTGCGCCTAAATTGTGTAGGCAATGGGCACACATAGAACACCTGGTATCCCAGAAGTGTACAACTGCAGGCAGCAGGTGCTCAAAGCATAGCTTGAAGAAACTCCCAGTAATGTGCGTCAGATGTGATATCCCATTAGACACATAAAAGTTCACGCAGATTCTCTTCAAGGTCATCAGGTTGTCTGTGGTACCAACTGTATGCATGGGCTTATGGATCTAAAAGTTACAATGAAACTACCATGCTGGGGATGTGAGGCCATCCACCTAAGCACATACCCATGGAAGGTCTGCTCAAGAATGAACAGAATGAGGAAGGGTGGTGGATGGATACAGGGATGATGGAAGGAGAGAGAGATGGCCCATGCCTATAATTCCAGCACTTGGGAGGCTGAAACAAGAGGATTTTGAGTTCTAGGCTGATGAGTGTGTTTGGTTTGTCTCACTTGTTTGAAGAGATCACCAGGATATATTCTCAAACAAGAACAGATGATTTTAGATAAATGAGCATTGTTTCATCCATTTTAGTAAAAATGATTGGTTACCAGAATAAAGGCCTGCCCTCTGAGGTAATGAAGCGCTTAGGGGCATGGGCTGTGAAGCCAGGCTTCAGCACCACCAGTCCCTAAATCCAAGCTTCAGAAACATGCAACCTTGGCAAATTCCTTAATCTTCTTGTAAAGTGGAGGAATTGATATTACATACAAAATAGATGTTGTAATGGTTAAACAGGTGACGTGTGCCAAACAGAGCAACTGCCACACAGTGATACCACTGGCTTACTCAGTTATGATTCATTTCTATGGCCACGTGGTAGAACACTCCATAACAAGCTGAGTACAGAAAAGAGGCAGAAGGATGACTGGCAGGTAAGGACTCAAGGACAGTGAACACAGAAAAACAGACCAGAGTAAAATGCCTTGATGGGGGAACTTACCCTAGAGGAACAGAAAGCTATAAAGTCAGGGCCACGAGAGATCAGGGAAGTACAATGGGTAGAAGACACAATGACTTTAACAAGACTTCACAGAAGCCAGAAAAGAGCCTTTAAGTCAGAGAGGTGGTTAAGGGACTTGAGAGGTAAAAGGAGCCTTTGTGAGACTTGCTCATGGTACACTGAAGCCATGGCGAGGTGTCTGTGCAGTGGAAGGACTGTGAATCTATGGGCTCAGAGTAGGCAGACCAGGTGAAAGAGCAGAGCTGAGAAGGAAGGGGAACAGGCAGGGCTTGGTGGGCAAACAGGGAGCCAACAGACTGGAAACCTGAGCAGAGCTGCAGCTATGAAGGGTGGTTGGTACGAAATGAAGGACTGAACAATGGTAGTATGAAAGACAGGAGGGGTCAAGCAGGAGTGTGTGTCCAGACACAAAGGGGGGAAACCTTAGAACAGGAGACCCCTTTCCTTTAAGATGTAACAGTACTGCTGTTATATACATAGCTCCCAACACAAACCTCCCAATTACAAAAATTAACCAAATGCAAATTATTGATAATT